TTTCCTAAACACATTTTCAACCATCTTTCACCGCCACTTGCAGTTTTTAAAACTGAGCTTTTTATGCCAATGTAAAAAACTGAAAGTACTTGTGCCCACCATGTATTTGGCTTTCCAACATAGCTCTAGCTTTGGTTCAGAATTGGAAATATTCCAGACATTGTCTAAGCATTATTAAAGTTGTTTATGTGATCAAGAATTGACAAAAAATAATCCCCACTGTTTAAAGCAATACTCCAATTACCATACCCACTACAGCACACTGTAGTGGATATGGTGCTAGGAGTGCCCTGAGCTGACCGCTCTCAGCCAGTGAGCTAACTCTGCACCTCTGGGCTTAGCTCAGAAGGACCGCTTCCAGCTCTCTGGTGGATATAGTGGAAGCAGAGAGCAGTGCGTGGTGGACCCCAGTTAAGAAGACAAAATGTTCTAAAACCTTTGTTTGACTACCTACATTCTAAGGGTGCCATGGCATTCCAGGTACCAAAGCTACTAAAATGCAATGTACTGGTTGTATTGCTTTGAGTGTTCCTTTAAGTAAATTATCTAATATCTGACTGGCAAAACAGCATGGTATTGGCTCATTGAAATTATGGAAAGTGCATTGGCATAAAATTCGTTCTAAAATGATAGGGTATTGTGAAGTGAGCCAAAAACATTGGATCATGGATATGAAGTAGAAATATGAAAATGTGACTCTGCTGCCTGCTTAATTTTGCATTCTATTCTGGGAGAGTTGTGGAGACACCACCTTGTAGAATTGCTTTGTCTGGAGCAGCTTTTTATTTATTTATTTACTATTTGTTTATAAATCTAGCTGAGCTTTAGATGAGCATAGTTTGTTTTGATTTTGATGGTTTTTGTGCAAAGTTTAGAAAGAATATTACCATGCTTATATTTTAAGATTGTTTCCGCTTTTGAGTTTCTTTAGATCAATCTCTTTTAAAGCCTTTTATTAAATTAGCAATTTAAGTAATCTTTTCTCTCACCAAATATGTGACCTTGTATTTAATCAATAACTTTTTTTTTTTTTTTTTTTCTTCCACTTCAGAGCTCTCTTTGATTATGACAAGACTAAAGATAGTGGCCTTCCCAGTCAAGGGCTTAACTTTAAGTTTGGTGATATTCTACATGTTGTTAATGCTTCTGATGATGAATGGTGGCAAGCACGACAAGTTACTCCTGATGGAGAAAGTGAAGAAATTGGTGTAATTCCAAGCAAACGCAGGTATTCTATTCACTTAGAAGTCTGCCTACATGTACAAGGCGTAGTCCGATTAATTCAGAGAGCCTCTAATTTGGATGGGTTTGAGAGTGGGTATTCTGAATTCACACATTGGATTTTTCAGTTTATTACCTCAAAATATTTGTCACCAAATAGTCCTAAAATGTTTTTATGATTTTTTTTTAATTTTTTTTTTAAGATTCAGTCAAAAAATAAACCGTTGCGGGTGCAGCACCAGAAAGTTTAACATAATATTCAGTGATCAATAAAAAGGGGCAATGTGAGCTCTCTCCTTGGATCAAGAAGCTGTTAGCCCACATATTAAACATGAAATCCTTTGTCCTTCCTTCCAGTCTAAATGCATGACCTTGTGTCCTACGTATAGTCCTCTTTATGAATAGATTTCTAGACAATAGTTTGTATTGGCCTTGAATATATTTGTATATAATTTTATCATGTACCCCCCCTAAGGTGCCGTTTTTCTAAACAAAACCTGTTTTAAATAGTTCATCTTTCTTAATAACCAACACGTTTCATCCTTTTTTTCATTTGCACAACATATTTAAGGTGCGGTCTTTCCATTGATTTATAAAAAGGCAAAATTATGTTTTAATCTTAAGAATTAATGCCTCTTTTTATACATGACAATACCTTAGTGGTCTTTGAAACTGCTGATTGACATTGCATATTGTTGCCTAGTTTGTGGTCTGTAACAATTCCCAAATCCTTCTTGTGTGTAGTTATCCCTAATTAACTACCGTTTAGTGTGTAAGTTGCTTTTGCGTTCTATATCCTGAAGTGCAGCTTTGCCTTTATCTACATTGAATGTTATCTGCCATTTGAGTGCCCAGTCCCCCAATCTATCTAAATCCCTCTGCTGCAAAGCAATATCCTGCACACATTGTATTATTATACAGCGTTTTGTCATCAGCACATACTAAAACATGACTTTCAATGCCTGTTTCAAGATCATTTATAAATATGTTGAATAGATAGGATCCCAGAACAGAGCCCTGAGGGACACCATTTACCACTTTTGTCCAGCTTGAAAATAAATTTACCGTTAAAGGAACACTAAAGGGTCTGCAATACAAACACATATTCCTGACACTACAGTGCTGGTGTGGCTATTTAGGTCACCGGCCTCCCTGTTAATTCAGTGAAAAGGTGTTTTTTATCCCTTAATAACCAAATACATTCGTAGCCACAGAAGTGAAGCTCACAGGTCTATAATTTCCAGGGAATGATTTTGAACCTTTTTTACATATATGATCCACATTTACCTTCCTCCAATCCTCCAATTCAGTTCTTGGAAGAAAAAATTAAAGGGAAACTGTAGTGCCAGGGAGTGCTCCTCAACCCTCTCCTCAAAGCACACCTAACAGTCCAGGATTTAGGGATTACCCAGGTGTGTTTAAGGTGTTTAGGAAAAAAAAAACACCTTATACATACCCAGGTAATCCCTAAATCCTGGACTGTTAGGTGTGCCTTGAGGGGAGAGGGTTGAGGAGCAAAGCCCGGAATACAAAGCTGTATTTCTGACACTATAGCTCCCCCTGTCTCCAGATATTGAAAAAAACATTTTGTTGTGATCGTAGAAATTCGTGATTTTGTATTTAGGATTCAGTTTTGTAATAATTTTGGATTATGATTTGCCATTATTTTCAGAGTTGAAAAGAAGGAACGGGCAAGATTAAAGACTGTAAAATTTAATTCGAAAACAAGAGGAGATAAAGTGGTGAGTTTATCTACAAATTGCATGTTAAAATGGGTGTCCTTATTCCTTTTGTGGGCCCAGTGTGCGTTTTCTAACTTGATACAAAAATTAAACACATTGGTTATAAAAAAAAATAGATACTCAATAAAGTGTAAATTTCTTGACACACATGCAGATAGAAATCCTCTTACAATATAGTTACATAGCTGAAAAGAGACTTGCATCCATCAAGTTCGGTCTTCCTCACATATGTTTTTGGCAAAAAATAAAAGTCTGAAGTGCTTCCAATTTTGCAACAAACTAGGAAAAAATTCCTTCTTCACCCCAAAATGGCAGTCAGATATCTCCTTGGATCAAGCAGTTATTACCCCACTAATTAAAAATTATATCCCTGTATGTTATGTTTTTGGAAGTATATATCCAATTGCTGTTTAAACATCTGTATGGACTCTGATAAAACCACCTCTTCAGGCAGAGAATTCCATATCCTTATAGTTCTTACTGTAAAAGCTTGTGTCCTATGTATAGCCCTGTTCATGAATAATTTCCAGATAATGGTTTGTAATAAATAATTAACACTCAAATTCTTGAATTAACATAATTTGATTATTTTTATATTTTTTTCTTAGTTAGCTAAGCTCTGTGAGACATTTCCCTTGTATGAGATCACAATTGGATTACGACCCTTCAGTTTATTAACCATTCCGTAGTTCTCCTAGTGACTGTAAATTGCCAACAAAAAGTGTATCACTAAATTGCATTTCTTACTATGTGAGGTTTTTTTATATTATGTTTGCAAGAAAATCTGCATTTGGGAAGCTAAAATTGTTGTCTATCCTGAAAGATTAAGATTGGCACAAAATCCAGAAATGTGATTTGAAGCTGTTACACTATATGGACAAATGTATTGGGACAACTGACCATTACACCAACTAAAACCTTTATTACATTGCATTCTAAATTCATAGACCTTAAAATGTATTTGACCCCTCTTTGCAGCTTTAACACTTCCACTCTTCTTGCTTTTCGCATGAATTTGGAGTGTTTCTGTGGAAATGTTTGCCCATTCATTTAATAGAGAATTTGTGAGGTAAGGCAATGGTGTTGGACGAAAAGGCCTGGCTCACAATTTCCGTTTTAGTTCATCTCAAAGGTGTTTAACCGCTTAAGGACCAAACTTCTGGAATAAAAGGGAATCATGACATGTCACATATGTCATGTGTTCTTAAGGAGTTAAGGGGGAGAGGTCAGGGCTCTGTGCAGGACAGTCTGGTTCTTCCACAGCATACTCATCCAATCATGTATTCATGCACCTTGCGTTGTTGCTTTGGGTCACAGTCATGCTTCAGTAGAAAAATTATTTCCCTAAATTTTTCGCACAAAGTTGGAAGCATAGCATTGTCCAAAATGTCTTGGTATGCTGAAGCATTAAGTTTTCCCTTCACTGGAATTAGGAGGCCTAGTCTAACCCCTGAAAAACAGCCCCATACCATTATCCCTCATCCACAAAACTTTACAGTTGGCACCATGGGTCAGGCAGGTAGCATTCTCTTGGCAACCACCAAACCCAGACTTTGCCATCAGACCGCCAAACAGAGAAGCATGTTTCGTCACTCCACAGAACACGTTTCCACTGTTCCAGAGTCCAGTGACGGCATGCTTTACACCACCCGATTTTGATGCTTGGCATTGAACTTGATGATGTAAGGGTTGCATGCAGCTGCTGGTCCATGGAAACCCATTCCATGAAGCTTGCGCTGCACTGTTTTTGTGATATTACCAGTGGAAGTGTGGAACTCTTCAGCTATGAAATCTGCAAAGCTTTGGTGACGTTTACACACAACACGCCTCAGCACCATGCTATATGACTTTACGTGGTCTTCCACTAAGTGTCTGAGTTGATGCTGTTCCTAAATGCTTCCACTTTCCAATAATATAACCATAGGCGTGCGCAGCCTATTGCATTAGGGTGTGCACCCTTAAGCACAAGCACACGCCGCGCGTGTGTATATGTATATATATGTGTGTGTGTATGTATGTATGTATGTATGTATGTAATGTATGTGTGTGTGTGTGTGTGTGTGTATATATATATATATATATATATACACATACACATACACACACATACACTGCTGTGTGAGGGTGCTATGTGGGTGAGGTTGTTTGTGTGTGTGCGCGCTTGTGAGGGTGCTGTTAATGTACTGTGTGTGAGGGTGCTGTTTGTGTGTGAGGGTGCTGGTTGTGTGTGAGGGTGCTGGTTGTGTGTGAGGGTGCTGGTTGTGTGTGAGGGTGCTGGTTGTGTGTGAGGGTGCTGTGTGTGTTTGTTAGGGTCCTATTTGTGTGTGTGAGGGTCCTATTTGTGTGTGTGAGGGTACTGGTAGTGTGCTGTGTGTGTTTGTTAGGGTCCTATTTGTGTGTGTGTGAGGGTGCTGTGTGTGTGTGGGTGGGGGTGGTGTGTGGGTGGGTGGATGCTGTGGGTGGGGGTGGTGTGTGTGTGGGTGGGTGCTGTGTGTCACATTACTTACTATCCCCCCTCCCTTCTTACCATATGTAGGGAGGGGGGATTCTTGTTCCTGCTGCTTTCCCTGGTGGTCCAGTGGAGAGTGAACTCTAGCCCCTGTGGGGATAGAGTTCACTCTCGCGAGATCTGAGCGTTGCCGCGGCAACGCTCAGATCTCGCGAGAGGAGCCCGGCGGAGATGCCGGCATAGCTCCCCGAGTCCTCTCCTGCCTCCCTCACTGGGTCGGTGGGGAGGGAGGCTGAGAGGACCCGGGGAGCTAGTGCCGGCTCTGCATGAGCCGACAGGGGAGACCCTGAGATCTCCCCTGCCGGTCTCAATAAATAGGTGTTCCGCGTGGATTAGGGTGTGCCCAGCACACCCTGTGCGCACGCCTATGAATATAACTTACAGTTGACCATGGAATATCTAGCAGGGATAAAATTTCACAAATGGACTTATTGCAAATGTGGCATCCTATCGCAGTACTACACTTGAATTAACTGAGCTCTTTAGAACAACCCATATGAGGTGTGTCCCAATTTTTGTCCATATAGTGTAGATTAAATGTGTTGAACAATGCTCACTGGGCCAAAGGGAATGTATCCATGTGTTCTAACAGGCATTGTCATGGTATCCTATCACATTAACACATTTGATTTTATTTAAACAAATTATATTTTTGGGGGAATTCCAATTGTTTATCATTCTGATCTAGAATTATGCCATTTCTCAGATGCAATCATTTTAATAAACTTCCCTCCAAACATTTGAATATGTCCAACTACACTAATCATTTAAGTGTTAAAAGTAATGTTAAAATCCTGGAATGGCTCTATGTAACTCTTTGTGTAATCTTTTTTAAAACAACATGTAGAAGGTTGGAGAAAAAAAGCCTAACTGCATGTTCTAAATTGCATGACTTATCTGTGTCACATCTGCGTTTCATGCATAGAGGTGCAGTTCTTGGACATTAATTGCATTAATGGTGGCTTAAAACAATTTACCAATATTTGTTGGTACTGCTCTATTAAACCAAATGTAAGTAATATGAACCTATGTTTAGCTACAGAGGAGTACTTCATGTTTTGGCCCCCAGCTGAGCAAATGAAATAAATTACAGATTTAATAGGTACATATCTCGTTAATTTTATGGAAGCAGTTGAGTAACATGGAGGAAAGGTGCTAGAGTATTTTATTCTATTAACCATCACCTTTTCTCCCTAGTTAACTTATCACAAAGACCATTGTTAACTAATTAAACATGCATTTTATTAATTGAACACACAAAGCACTTGTGCCATATTGTTATGAATCTTGTTGCACCTCCCCAACTACAATACATCTGTTTTTTTTACTTCTTGGTTTGTTCAGCTGCCTTGCAATGACTTGTCACTGAGCTGTAATACAGCTCATTGAGAAGTCTGTGACTGGACAGACTCAAAATGTCTGAATTGGAGAAGGGAGAGCTTGTAGCAGTTGCTGATACTAGATCTGCAGCTATTGAAAGCCAAATTTTCATATACCCCCAAAGAAAACTTACAAAACATATTTTATGCAATTTTGCTTTATGATTGTACCTACTAAATTGTATATCTACTAAATTTGGTTTGTGTGCATTTTTTTAAATGGAGTGTTCCTTTAAATAATATATAATTTATTTATTATATTTAGTTATGTGTGTGTAGCAAGGAGGAGAGGTTAAGACGTTTAGTGCGAGAATATTGACATCATTGTGCAGTTATTCACCGTAATAAACTGGTAATAATGTACAAATCACCTGTGTGCAGTCTGCCTTAATTATTAATATTATTTATAAAGCGCCAACAAGTTCCGTAGCGCTGTACGATCTAATCTTGGGCATAACTAGGATATATATACAGAGTTACACTCCCTACGGCACTTGCTGCCTTTGTAATTATGGCAGCTGAAGTAGCTGTTCCCCAGGACTGCAACTCTTTCTACACTCAGGTAGCACTGGTACAAGAATGTCAAAAGTGCTGTCCTTACAGTAAAACTTTCCCTTAATCTGTAATGTAACCATACTAAAATAACATACTACACAACTCTATCTCTTAAACATTGGCACCTACTCTTTACTGAACCTAAAAATATGTACTAATAGATCAGTGTCTTTTATATTACACTACTTTTAAAGCACACGTGAAAGTGTGTTTAAGGAGAAATTAATGCCACCTCAGGGTTCTGGAGACATAAATAAAACATAAGACAGAAAGTCTTTTGGTTAATTATGCCTCCAGAACCCGTTGTTTAAGAACTGCACGTTTTAATGCTGGAAAATGTGATTGGGAGGATATGTTACATCACGCAATTACGACAATGCATGTTAGAATAATAGCTACTTAAAAATAGGATTGCTAGATACCCTGTCACCTTTAATTTTTAATTTATCATGTAAATGCATTGAATGCATGTGCTGATGAAATCTGCACACTATTTAACTAAATAACGCTGTGATATCCTTGTTCTTAACTGAATAACCATTTGCAAGCACATACTGTGTCCTAAAACAGCATTCAAAACTGCATGGAATGAGTTTCAAAACAAAAAATATATTTATATAAACGCTTGCCATTGATTTAGAACTGCATTTTCTTTCCTGCATTAATACTTCTATTGTGGGCACCTATGTAGGTTTTTCCTCCACAACTTTTTCAATGCAACTTGTTTTATTTTACCCTCCCTTTCCCAAAAGGCAACATTTGCTCATGATCACCTATATTCACAAATCACACTTTTTATCCTTAATGCCGGGGCTCATGTCCAGGCATTAAGATGCTTTGCCGTACTTGCGTAATCACCTATTACTCCTGGCTAATGCATCTTTCTAATGTTTAAAAGATATAATATGAACATACTGCTGGACTTGGGTCTTTCCTGATTATCATCTATTGTACGCATAAAGCCCACACTTTTAAAGCAAATAAGAAGTCTTAAAACTTCAGTTATGTTTGTGGTAGGATATGTCATGCCATTGCATGCAAAAAGCATATCTGGGCTAAACATCTATGTAGTCATTACTTTTGAATAGTTGGGCATTAATATGATCTAAGCATTTCTACTGCTTGTGCTTCTTGCCCATCTTTTTTTTTTCCCCTTTTTTTTTTTATTTTCCTTTCTATTTTTCTTAAAGGAATTTTAGGTATCAAACAACTTTAGCTTAACAAAGTGATTTTGGTGTATAGATCATGCCCCTGAAGTCTTACTGTTAAATTCTTTTTTTTCTCTCCCTGGCTGTGCTTGACATCCTTCATGAAAAAAAATGGTTTTATTTTCAACTAGATGTTTACTTGCTCTAGAAGTTATCGGTTGCTTTGTAAATTGAACTTTAATCATACACAGGAGGCTCCTGCAGAGTTAAAAGGCTATAAACTGAGCAGGAGAATATACATTTTTTAAAAATTGTTTAATTAAACAGAATGTGCAATAAAGGAAGTTTTAAACATTCAATCTCATTTTGCAGGAAATATTTAGGAAAGCTGTGTAAGTCCATGCAGGGGGTTGTAATTAGGGTTTCAGAAACAAAATGATTTAATTCCTAAATGGCAGGGAATTGAACAGTGAGACTGCAGGTGCATGATCTATACAAGAAAACTGCTTTATTAGAATAAAGTTGTTTTGGTGCCTATAGTGTCCCTTAAACTATAATATAGAGCGTGTGGTGGTAACTAACGTCACTAACACAAAACTCGTTACTGGTCATTTAAGTGGTTTCTGCTTCGCTTTTTATTTTTTTTTTAATGTATTCTCTTGTTCTGTCCCTGGTTTACACTTTAAGTGGGATTCTGACTGGTCAATATAAGATGTGCAAAGATATGTTTTTGTTTTTATTTTGTTTTTTTTGCTTTTTAATTTTACCTTCTTTTTGGAAACAAGATATTTCTTATGGACAGAATTTTACAATTTCTTTCCTTTTCGGAAGTACCAGCGTCTACCTTGCTCCAGCAAGCAGGTTTACTCCGAGAAAATGGCGGATTGTACAAGACTCCCTAAGATTATTTTTATTCCTTTCTACAAAGTCATAAGTAGAGCAAACACATGAAAGAATAGGAAAGCCATAATTATATTGACCCTTTGGAGTCCATTTAAAGAATACTCATGCAGAGTGAAATTCCTCTGAGCCATTTAAGTTGAACAGTCTGTAATGCTTGGAAAGTGTTCCATAATTAGGGTTACCAGAGCCACCATGTTTTAAGGGGCACTTATCACAAAAAATATATAGCTATATATATATATATATAGAGATAGACTGCACACAAAAGAGGTAGCCCTGTAGTATGTAGAATTCAGAAGGTGTATAAGATTAAGTAATTCGGCAATGTAGAATCCTTCAGATTATGCATTATATATACTGCAGGGCAACCCTTTTAATGTTTTTTCATAAATATGATAAAATTATAGGTGTCTCTGAAAACAAGATGGATATGATAACCCTAAACATAATCACAAACTAATCAGGGTAGTTCGTCATTTAGTTCATATGTTATTGTTTGGCAAAGGTTATCTTCAAAAATATTTCCAATAGGATTTTGCAAAGACCATGCAAACCATTTAAAATACAGATATGTAGGAAAACTGATCAATAAATTAGTATAGCAGAATTACGCTGAGCA